GAGGAGGGGAGCGGGGAGGGAGGGTAAGAAGCGGGGGGGGGGAGAAGAGGAAGGTGATGGTAAGAGGAGAGGAGAGGAGAGGAGAGGAGAGGAGAGGAGAGGAGAGGAGAGGAGAGGAGAGGAGAGGAGAGGAGAGGAGAGGTAGAGAAGGAGGACCTGCGCTCCTTGCGAGTAAGGTACGATCTCATCCTCATCGCCATGAAGGACGACAGTCGGAATGTCGATCTTGCTCGCCTTGCCCAGGTTGTCGAACTTGTCCCTGACTAGCCATGGGAGTAGGCGGAGGCCGAAGCTGATAATGGGGAAGGAGGTCTGTTAGAAGCTGTAAGCTCCTTTCCCTGCCCTTAGACGCACTCACTCTGGCCATGGCGAGGATTGAGGAGAAAGGAGAAATGAGTAGCATCCCTCCGGCGAGGCCCCTGAAGTTGCGATGAGGTGGAGGGGGAAGGGAGGGGAAGGACAGGAAGTAAAACTTGCCTCGATGCCAACTCTACAGCAACACCACTGCCCACGGACTGTCCGACAAAGATCGTCCGCTCTTTAGGTATGTTGAGGCCATCAGGGGATTGAAGATGGTTCACCAGCTGAATGTAATCAAGTGATCCCAGTGAGTGTCGGGCGACGAGCAGAAATGAGAAGAAAACGACAACAAGCACGGACAGTTGTTACTATCACAACATATGGGTAGAGCTGATGTCCTGCATGTATGGATTACCTGCACTGAGGACAGATAGATGCTTTCTTCACATGTCTTCAACCCCTCTGACAATCGTCAATCAGAACGAAGTTTGGCCCAGCGTTGTGCTCCCGTCTAGCCTTCCAGCCTCGAGCTATTTCGCTACATGTCGCTATCCTCTCTCCTATTTCTCTCAGCCTGACTCCCCCGCTCATCCCCTCCCTCCTTCACCACTTCGAACTCCCTTACCCGACGTGCCGTAGCCAGGATACTCGACACCATAGAATCCGAAGCCGTACAGGTCGTGAATCACCTTGCCGATGTACGAGGCTCCCCACCCGATCTGACACCTCTCAACGTTGCTTCCCGACTGCAGAGCACGTGATGTACCTGATCCGCATTCCCATGGAAGTAGACAATCGTTGGGAGCTGAAAAACTGTCACGTTCCTCCCCGAGATCGTTGATACCGTGCCTCTGGTGACTTTGGTGGGAAAAACAGGGCTGAAACTAGAGCTCGAGACGCTTCTCCTGCTCCTTCAGAGTCCAAGAAGTTGCTAGCAAGCGGCTGCTCTGCTCAAAGTTTCACCTTTCAAACAGCGTCTTTAGGGTTTTACCCGCTGTCAATCGGACAAGCCGCCCCCCTGTTTTGAATTCAGTCGCTCCCTTCTACAACTGACGAGCTTCCACAAACCATTGATCGTCGGCTCAGCAAAAACGTTGGGCTTCTGGTAGAGGATGGAACGCTGGAGGATGGCAAAGAGCAATGTTCACGCCGAGCAGACAAGGAAGAAACAAGAGAAAGTTCACTTGCGAGGCGTACAAGACTATCAGCAGCCCAGCGTAAGGGATCTGTTCATGAGGTGAGGAACGTGACATGCTCGGCACCACTCATATGCCTACCGCAGCAAATTTTCCTATTGTCAAGACGGTGCTCCATACGTGCCCGGCAACTTGATACAGGAACCTCAGGCAGAGGGAGAGGGAGGAGATGCAAACTCACAGGACATAACGAGCTTGTGCGCATTTCTAGAGTCCGAAGACATCGACCGCCTCCCCGACTGGGTTCGGAGGGCGGGAACTGAGCTGCTCCCTCCTCCTCTAAGGAAGTTAACCCCGTTTGGCGGGGCGAAACTTGAGTGCATGCTTGTCCATCCCATGGACCGCTTGAGGTGCATACAGCAGGAAGGGAGCATCTCGTTCCTGTTGAAGATGTTTGAGGACCTCGATCTCGCTGCAAGATCTCTCTAGTCTTACCCTCTTTGCCGTGTCGTGCAGATGATCCGCGTCAACTGGAACGCCATGATCCAGCCAGCGTGCGCAATGCTGGCATCAAAGTTCCGCGATAGTGCATGCATGTCATGCTGTCCCATGACCTCGTGTCTTCGTCCTGTCTTCCTTCTACCTCTCCCTCTCCTTCCCTCTCCCTCCTGCTCTCTCTCCCTCCTGCTCTCTCCCTCTCTCCCTCTCTTCTCCTCCCCTTCCTCCTCCTCTCTCCCTCGCTCGGATCTCGTCCTCCCTCCTTTCCTACCCGCAGCCTCCTCCTTGCCTGGATCCTGAGAGGTCACTGGGTGGGTACTTAGAAGGGAAAAGGAGGGGTACATAATCGAGTATCGACGCGATTCAGACTACAAACCCATTGGAAACGTTCATACGTCCACGTCTAATAGATAAACTTATGTCCACGTCTCTAATGAAACAATGAAAAGAGAGAAGAGAAGAGGTGAGAAGAGAAGAGACAAGGAGAGGAGAGACAAGGAGAGGAGAGAAGAAAAGAGGAGAGACGAGGAGAGGAGAGAAGAGAAGAGACGAGGAGAGGAGAGGAGAGGAGAGACGAGGAGAGGAGAGGAGAGGATAGAAGGGACGAGACTAGACGAGACGAGAAGAGGCGAGAAGAGACGAGACGAGACGAGACGAGATACAAAAAGGAGGGAACAACGGAGTGGTGAAAACAAGAGCTGGAGAAAAGATAAAAGTGTAATTTGCATTGATTCGAATCGTTTTGATCTCATGCACAGTCAAACTTTCTACTAGCCTCAGGGAGGGCTTTCAAATCAGCTTCTTCTCGGCTTGGATGATGTACATGGGATCTGACGGGGGGGAGAAGATGCTCTTCTTCGGGGAGATATCGAATGCTTGAGCAGGGTTGAAGCCTCCAGCGTAGTGAAAGTACGAGCCGATGATAAAGATATGCTCCAGGTCTGAGGAGTACAAGAAACATGATTCAGAGAAGAACGACTTGCTCATGCTCTCATCTCTCACCGTTCGTGTCCAGCCAGATTCTGATTGCCTTGCTGGGAAAACACCTGCGTGTGTGGTTGAGTGGGAGTGGGAGCGTTGAAGCAGAGCGAACCTGTTTGATTGGCTGATAATGAAACGTCCTCCCGGTCGGAGGACGCGAGACACTTCTTGGAAAATCTCCAAGGGCTTGATGAGGTAGTCCACACTCACCACGCATGTCACGACATCGAACGAGTTGTCCGGGAAGGGAAACTTTGGGTTCTTGTTTAAGTTCTGCACGACGAACTCTGAGAGCTGCTCATTCTTCGACAGCTCAAACTGGTTCATCCCCAATCCTACCCTCTTTCCCATCTTCTGCGGGAAGTCCTTGGGAAAATGAGATACCCAGCTCGAACAAATGTCCAGAATGTCGCTCTTCTCCGGTATAGTCTGTGATGTTCTTCATTCAGCCCACCTCGCCCAATATTCACAACTCATGTACCTTCGCATAATAATCTGTAAGCGCAGCGATGGCTTTATCATCGATATGGTACACCTGCAAGGGGACATGCATCAGACAGTATCGTTGGGCATAATTTCACTTACCAGACGCGGAGTGTCATAGAAGTATTCATCCTCGCTCTCATCCGTTCTAGAAAAGTCCTTTGACGAGTATGGCCAAGACTGGGGCCATTTGGGATTCTTCAGGACGTCCTCCACAGACACCCTCTGACCAGACATGCTGAGTCCCCGCGCAAACCGTCCGGCCATACCCTGTCTTCCAACAATCCTTCCCCCTTGGATGGAGGGAGACGCACTGAGAGCTCTGGCAGAAGGAAGAAAGCCGGGTTTCGAAGCGAGGAAGGCGGAAGACAGCGGGAGGCTGGCGAAGATCAGCGCAGCACGAGTCGCCTGACGGGCGAGCGCAACCATAGCGCGGTGCCTTATGACGTAGGGATCTTGACTTAATACCCTCATTGTCAATGATGAGTGCCAGGATACTTCTTGTAGTCAACTGTACTATCAGTGCGGTCCGGCGTGGCCCGTGGTGCGACCGCCGGGCCCGGGGCCCGGTCGCCGGCTGGTAGCAGTGACGCCCGGCCGCCGCCGGGCGGTCTTCAAACCGGGGCCGCCGTTCGCTGAACGGTCCGTACCGTCAAAACGGCGTCAATGAACTTCGGAATCCCCGGGCGGCCGAGTCCAAGGCGCCGCGGGCCCGCCGCCGGGCGCTCAGCGGCCCGGCCGCGGCAATAGGCCCCCTTAAAATATTAGCGGCCGGGCGGATTTCAGTAGCGTTCAGCTTATTTTTACTCAAAGTTAAGTTAAAAATCAGTACGAGCTGAGCCAGTCGGATGGCATCGGACAAGTTGAAAAATTCACTACAAGCCTGTAACGTATTGACTACAAGAAAGCACACCGTCCAAAAGAATTTGACTATAGGCGTTGAGGAGTTTCCATACGCGAAATCCAATTGAATGGTTCCCAACGCCAGGGGCGGGAGGTGACAGAATCGGTGAGGAGGACGGTGTACAGGAGGAGACGAGCGTCCCCTGCGATTCTTTGTGAGCATCAGAACCATCAGGCAGTGTCTGCTGATTCGTGACAGAAGATCAAACGAGGTCGCCTTCAAACGACGTCAAAGCGGCCATTTTACTAGCGTCAGCCTGTCAGATCGAGTGAGATTATATCCTTCGTGTTCGTGGAGGAGATCAACAAAACAATCTCGTCAAACACTGGATACAATTGACTGCTCGCTCGTCTTGGTGCAGGAATGCAAGCCTGAGAGGGAAGATGGGAACGAAGCAATCTAAGAGTACGTGCGTTTTTCCAGAGCCAGTCCCTCCACCGCAGCCGCACGATGGAGCGAGTGGCTTTCAAAGGGAGCCACAAAGGGCTCGAACACCTCGCACTAAACTGCATCAGTCATCTTCAAAGGGGGTGCAAAAAGTGAGTGATGAATCCATGGCCACAAAGCAGCCGATAGATTCGATGCAGAGAAGTCGCGGTTCGCACAGGGTACAACCCAACTTCAAAGACGACATTGACCCCTCCATAGCTGAACTGTCTCACGATGAGGTTGCCAACGAGCTGAAGGCCTTATTCACTAACAGGAGTTCTATGGATGAAATCGAACAGGAACTAAGAGCGATGCGCTCAGGCGACGGCTGGGATTTGAAGAACGGGGAAGTTCTTTTGGAAGCCATTCGCGCCCAGATAAAGACGAGCGAAAATTTCATGGATCAATGGCAAGCAGTGCTGGACCGAGAGCAGATATCTGAAAGACTGCTCGCTATGAAGGATGGTATCAAGAGAATCCGCGAACAGGCTCAACTGAACTCATGCGACGACCTGTTGGACCAAATAGATGCGCTGATCAAGTCGAACAGCTCAGGTGTATCGCTGGAGCATGCTCAGAAAGAAAATCTCAGATGCACAAACAAAGATGACTCTCAAGCGCCCACCCGCCGGTCCTCCCGTCGAGTTCTCTGTGATGGCGTTCAGGAGATCAGGAACACGTGAAGCAAACAGATTGAAGCAGAGTGCGGTTCCGGATATCTTGCTTCACAGAACTTGCGTATTATGTTTATCGGATGTAATTTCATGTCTGTGGTAATGTCATGCTAAGTGTTTGTTGGTTTATATATCAAAACGAAATGGGGGACAAGAAGGAAGTATTATGAATTAAATCATTAAAGATTTCCAAGGTTGAAAGGCACATCATCAAGAAAAATCTACAATCTGCTCTACCAAAAAATCAATTCAATCCTTGAAGATCGTACAAGAATACGAAACAGGGATCCACCAGTCAACCAAGCCACTCAATTCCAGGCTCCCTTGTCGCTCATATTAAGTTCTTTCCTGCCGGAAGACGAGCCAGGCCTCTGAGGGGACAATGTTTGTTTGCTTCCTTGCACTCCTCTCATGTTGCTTTCAGCTGCGCGTCTTTCCGCCGCTGCTAGAGCGTTCTTCCTTCTCTCATCCGCATCTGGTTGATCATAGTTTTGTTGGGTTGCATACGTATTAGGTGCTCTTCCTCCAAGACCATCTTCTGCATCCGACTGAGTGTATCCAGATGTCGCTCCATGCCCCTGAAACTTACCGGATTTGCTTCCGAAGCATTTGCCAAAGCAAGTACCCATTTTAGTGCTGAAGAAAACTGCAATGAAGAATAGGCTGCTTTCACGCTGTTGCACTCAGTCAGTCTCGTGATGTTCAATCATTCAGATCAGTACATACCTGTTACAAGGCCTTCAAGGATGAGGCTGCGAGGGGTACAACTGCAACACTATTGACAGAAGGCGGGACGGCAGCTGATGCTCTTGAGGTACGATGAAAGCCTTGCAGAGCAAGAGAGAGATGTTCTAGGGAGAAAAGGAGGAGAGGATCAGAGTAGTTGAAAGGAGAAGAGGAGGAGGAGGAGATGAGCAGAGTAGTTGAAAGGAGAAGAGGAGGAGAAGAGGAGGAGAAGAGGGATCTGGTCTCCCAAGGTCAACAGGTGCGCTACCAGGTGTAGGAGCGATGAAGGGAGGAGGGTAGAATTATATGTTTTAGTTGATACTGGAATACGGTACAAGAATCTATAAATATAACCTATCTATAGTCAAATAACATATTTTTAAAAATAATTTCATACAAATAGGTATAATTTCAATAGATTTCTCTATACTATTTTAAAAAACAATCATCCAAACATACGAGCAACATGTACAAAAGTATAAAACCTATGGTCAAATTTAGATAGTACTTCATCTCTCTATAACGAGTATGAAAAACTTTTTGTAAGAGAATTTGCGCTATAAAATAAAAGTAATAATATTGGTCGATTGGGTCGGGCCCGGCACTGGGCCGCTAGTCACTCGCTGACCGTACGGCGCCGTGCTCGGAGGCCCCCCCCGCCGGGGCCCGGGCTCACTGAGGCGTGGGCGGGCCCAACCGTGACCGTCGGGTTTCAAGAGTCACACCAAGCCTTGAGTTTCGGAGCCGCCGCGAAGTATTCGCGGCGTCGAGTCGGGGACTCGGAGCCTGTCACAGTGTTGGCTGTGACGGCGACTCGAATGGCACTGTACTCCGTGGTCATCATTATCGTTGTTGCGGTTTGTATGCCTGCATGAACTTGGTCTTCCACTTCCCCTGCCTTGCTGTCTCGAACGCTCTTCTCTCTACCTCTCGCCGTTCCTTGTCAGCCGCTACGTTGTCCGACCAGGACGAGAAGCTGGCAAGAAGTGACTCTGTGAGCAGATGAAGAGCAAGCGGCAGAGACTTTCAGCTGACACGCACCAGGTTGCAAGCAGCACGTTGACCATCCTCATGGCGACCTGCGAGCGGCTCAGAGGGCGGGAGAAGCGGATGAATTAGTGGTGGGGACCTTTCTCTTGAGAGCTTTCAGTGGAAGGATGGAAGACGGGTCCTTAATTATCTGGTAGACGACCAGCACCGGTCAAGCTGGGGAGCGAGTTGGCTCGATAATTCACCTTGTGCAGGGGGTTGCTCGAGTCAGTGAGCGCGAAGGAGGCGCTGGATACTTTGCTGGCTGTGATGTGGGAGAGCAGCTTCTGTCTCTGAGTGTTGGCGGCTCTCGTCAGCAGGAAGCGGGAGGAGCAAGGAGCATGTCGAAGTCACCGTCTCCTGTCGCAGTCGTGTTGAGTGCTGACGACGCGACGGCAGCTTGACTAGAACCTGGTGGGACTGTTCGTGTCCTAGCCCCTCAAGTCGATTTCTCACCTCAGCCAGGAAATTCTCCCACGAGGCCTGAGAAGACAAGTCATCGAGAGGAGAGGCAGACAAGTGGCACTCACGACGTTGGACAGGTTGAAGCGTTTGGAAAGCTCCTGTGCATGCCAATCATTTCAACATCGCAACATGTCAAAACCGTCAACCTGACACAACAAACTCCACTCGCCCTGAGTCAGCAAAGGAACCATCAGACATGGGAAGCGATGACCAACAGTCTTCACCTCTGTCATCACTTTCATGCCCATCGACGATAGCTGCTTCCACACATCTACAGGATCAACAAGCATACTGCCGTCTCCAATCTCATGGGGAGGACGCAGCAACTCGATCTTGTCAAGACTTTGTGACCCCGCGGGCTGTCTGACTGTCATGTCGCTCTTGCTCCTTCTCCCCAGCTCGACTCCAGCCTGGCTCGTACTTTCTTCGCTCCTCTGCAGCGATCGTGCTGATTGTGATCCCGACGAGGTTGCAGCTTGCCGAACAGGCGCAAGAGTCGCGATAAGAGCAGCTCCGTCAAGGTCGTCTCTGGACCGGGAAAGCTTCCCCAGCTGTACTTTGAGCCTGTCGTTGATCATGGGCAGTTGACAATCTTGACCCTTGAGCTGGATGTTGGAATGGAGGAACTTGACGGAACTGTCTTGCTTGACTGTCTGATACATTTCTTTACTCCTCACTCTTTTGTTGTCCTGCTCCTCTCCACCACTGCCATCTCCTCCTGATCCTCCAATTTCTTTCCATCTGACACATGCCCTTAGCTCTGCCATCATTACGTCATGAGAAAATCCGTCAAAGTGATCTTCAATCATGCACGCAAACTTCAGTTGCAGCCAAGATCTCCACTGATCATTTACAAGATTGTACACAACATTCACAAGCTCCTTGACAGTCATCTCTTTCCGCGCATCTTCTTGGCAACTCAGGCTGGCTGTACAGTGGACGGAAACAACCTTGCGGTATTTCTTGCCGTCTTCCACCATCTGCTCCAATTGCAAGGAACTCGGAAAGATCTGGAAATATGCGAACCAAGACCTCAGTGTCTCATTGTCAATGTGCTTGACATCCAGTTGACTGAATCCTTTCCCCAGCTTCAAGGAAGCTCCCTCCAAGGTCTTGAAAACTGTCTCCACCAACGAAGAACCTGGTTCGTCTCTCCACCCAGACATCCCAACCTTCCAGACCTGAAGCATGGCCGTCAGAAAGTCAACATGTCAGTCATCAACGTACAAGTTCAGACTTAACTTCATTCCATGAGGGGAAATTCCCTGTGAAGAGAAAGAGTGAACAACAGCCAAATCATCCGAAACATGACAACACAGCATCACCGTAGAAGGTGAAAGATGATTCTTTTAGCTGCTTGATATTTGCTTTCTCCTTCTTGGTATCTATTCTTTCTTCATCTTCTGACTTCTCTTCCTGCGCAGTCTCTCGCAACCCCTCTATCGTCTTCATGTCAGTCTTGGTCCTCTTTTGCTTCAGAGATATCTGCCTCACACAATGAATTAGAAATGACGGTCGCCCGCATTCAAGGTCATATTCATCACCAGATCCTTGAAGTTCTTCTTTCCTAGAGACAACTTTGAACTCAACACGTCATATCGTTGAGCATCTGTTGTTCTGGACTTCTGCTGGCTCGGCAAGGAACCGAAAAGCTCCCGATGGGTGTTATGCACTAAGACTTCCAATCTTTCTTTCGCATCTTCTCGTGATTGCGCTTCCTTCCACATGTGGGCCTGCCTTAGGTATGTCTACCAAACGTGTTCACCATCGGAAAGAGCATAATCGCACTCACATCATTCACCGAGTGTCTCTTGAAGCTGACACTTCGACTTGTGTTTGTAGTCACGATGTCACTCGTCTGGCCAGGTTCCCACTTCGTGTCCTCTGCCCTCCTGGTGGTCAAGCTATTGACCTGTTAGCAGGTGCAAGGACATGTTTTACTTCAGCTTGGCATCAAGACTATAGGCTGACCTTTACCGATGATATGATGGGTCGTCGGGTCTGCATATGTTCCTTGTCATCTTTCGTGAACGGGATGATGATCGGACAGCCCTCTGCCAAGCTGCCGTCCTCCCTGCCTTCCTGGTGCTCAGCCGACTGTCGGCCATGGATGTTTCTTTCTCTGCTCCCCACGAGTTGCCTTCTGTTCTCCTCACGGCGCTCAATCTTCCGGAAGAGATCGAACTTGTCGGATCTCTGTGACGATCTCAACATTTCTTCTGACTCTTGCTCCAACTCCCTCATCGTGTGATGAAAGCGGTTGGAGGTTGAGTTGAAAATCTCATCCTCCTGCACCTCGCCCTCCTCCCACTTATCTCCATCTTCATCCTTCAGCTCCACATCTATCTCCGCATGCTTCCAAGGCTTGCCAGGCCAGCCGATACTGGTTGCGGCTGGGGCCATAGGAGGGATGGCAGCCTTGCCCAGGAAGCTAGTGGAGGCGAAGACATAGGCTGGCTCAGGACCAAAGGTGCCATCATCAGCAAGAAGGAAGTTTACAGCTTCAAGGCTGCTGGAGAAGGGAGACAGGTGATCTGACACCGTCCCTCGTAGGCGATGCATCGTCGATGGGTCAGTGAGAACCGCACGAAAACGAGCCTTTCAGCCTCAGGTCAAGTCCCCATAGTCCTCACTGTCCAATCTGATCAGCCGCCTCGCTATCATGTTTTCATCGCTCTCACTAGCATCTCCTCTCCTCATCATCGCTCTCACTAGCATCTCCTCTCCTCATCATCGCTCTCACTAGCATCTCCTCTCCTCATCATCGCTCTCACTAGCATCTCCTCTCCTCATCATCGTTCTCACTAGCATCTCCTCTCCTCATCATCGCTCTCACTAGCATCTCCTCTCCTCATCATCGCTCTGACTAGCATCTCCTCTCCTCATCATCGTTCTCACTAGCATCTCCTCTCCTCATCTTTCTCCTTCTTCTCTCCGTCTGCCTCCCTGCCTTGTGGTGCCCTCAAGCCATGAGCGCATCGTTGACACGGTCGCTCAACGGCTTGCTGACCTTTAAGAGCCACTATACTGAAGGCTATTCATTTTCACTGCCTTTCTATTTATTCCTGAGGCAGACTCGGAACGATTTCTTTGGGTATGCGGGGGATGAGGCACAGAAGCATGGGAGAGAAACGAGGGGGAGGGGCGAGGGAGGAGGAGGGAGGGAGGGGGCGAGCAGGAGAGAGGGAAGGGGGTCAGGCAGTGGGAAGCGGGAAGCGGGAGGACGCCAGTCAGATGGATGGCAGAGGAGGAGGAGGAGGAGGAGGAGGAGGAGGAGGAGGACGAGCAGGAGGACGAGGAGGAGGAGGACGAGGAGGAGGACGAGGAGGAGGACGAGCAGGAGCAGGAGCAGGAGCAGGAGGACTGAGCTACAAGTAGAAACCAGAAGGAGTACCATTGAAGTGATCCGAGAATCTGAGCGCAAAATTCGACGAATCATAGCAGCCAGTAGTGCGGGCGATGCATCTAGTCCTTGTCTTGTCTTCAGTACATCTGACTTCAATCGCACAGAGTAGAGCAACTGATTCCCCTGGATAATTCTTCGACACCTCTGAAACCATGTCTGTCTTGATCGAAACCTCTCTGGGCGACATGGTAATCCTCTGTAAGAACAAGGAATGCAGGAGCTGACTTAGTTCCAGGTGTTTGATCTTCACACCGACGTGTGCCCCAACGCATGCACCAACTTCCTAAAGCTCTGCAAGATCAAGTGACGAGCCTCGTTCGCCTCTTGCCGCCTCTGATGCTCGCTGCAGGTATTACAACAACTGCATCTTCCATTCAGGTAGCATGAGGGACTGTAAGTGCTGTGTGTGTCTTGCTGAACGTCTGCAGTGGAAAAGGATTTCATCGCTCAAACGGGAGATCCGACGGGTACTGGGCAGGGAGGGGAGTCGATCTTCGCAAAGGTCCATGGGCCAGAGCGCCGATACTTTGAAGACGAGATTCATGAAGAGATCAAGCACAAGAATATCGGGACCCTGGCGTATGTCAACAAGGGCCCCAACACCAACGCATCGCAGTTCTATATCACCCTGCGCTCCGACATCGACTTCTTGGATGGCAAGTACACGATCTTCGGCGAGATCGCGGAAGGGGAAGAGGTGCTGGACCGCATCAACGCTTCTTATTGCGACAAGGCAAACAGGCCCTATCGAAACATCCGCATCAAACACACCCACATTCTGGACGATCCCTTCCCTGACATTCTCAGCATCCAAGAACCAGCCTCTCCTCCGCCAGCGCGTGATGAGCGACCCGAGGCAGACGATGAGATTGTTGAGGGAGACGACATGACGATCGCCGAAGCAGAGAGAGCAACGAAAGCTGCAGAGGCCAAGTCACGAGCTGTTGTCCTGGAGATGATTGGAGACATCCCTGATGCTGAGATGAAGCCTCCAGAGAACGTTCTGTTCGTCTGCAAGCTCAACCCGATCACTCAGGACCCCGACTTGGACATCATCTTTGGAAGGTTCGGGCCTTGCACTTCCAACATCATTCGAGACAAGAAGACAGGAGATTCTCTCAACTATGCCTTCATCGAGTTCGAAACGCAGGAGGCAGCTGAGGTTGCGTACGAAAAGATGAACAACGTGATCATCGACGACAGGCGCATCAAGGTCGACTTCAGCCAGAGCGCGTACAAGCAATGGCGTTCCTTTAACCTTGAGCGTCGTGAGAAGATGATCAACAAAAGGAGAGAGCTGGCCAAGAACCTCCAGAGTCAGGGCGGCATCACCGCTCCCTCCTCCCAGGTTGTCGGTGGCAACGACTACCAGCGAGAAGTCAGCAACAAGTGGCACTCGTCCTCTACCCATGGGTCGAAGCCTTTCAGTGCCAACGCTGAAGCTCGACTGGGAGGCTTCCGAGACAGGAAGGACGCTAAGGTGAGGAGTGGCAGTGGCTGCTTGAAGTAAAGTGAAGCGTTTGCAGGGTCGAGGAGGGAAGTTCGACATCAGCGGGTCCTCGAAACCTGAAAACGACTCCAAGAACGACAGCCGAGAAGACGGGAGAGAGGGGGAGAGGAATCGTTACCGAGACAGGAGCAGGGAGAGAGACGGAGACAGGGACAGGTGAAGCGGCTCTCACGCATTTCAACTATCTAAGTGAGGAGCAGGAGACCTCGCGACAGGTCACGAGACAGGGAGAGATCGCCGAGAAGAGACAGGTGGAGAGGATGAGAGTTGCGAGGAGAAACTTCCTGACTTGCATCAGGGACGAGCGCAGGAGGGATCGTTCGAGGAGCAGGGAGCGAAGAAGGTAGATCCTCGATGCTCGATGGCCTTTCATGCAGATCCGTTCACGTTATGGGATGAAGCGGCAAATAGGCAGGCAGACAGCCTTCGTTGAAGTGCTTGCAGAGGAATTTGCTTTGTAGGATGAAAACTATTAGACTGCAACACCCATTAGGCTCGAATCGCGGATTAGACTCCGCATCCTGCTACTATTGCTTGTTGCACTCTGCGATGTTGTGAATCAGCAAACTTACTCCTCATCGCTACAAGATCGCCTCACCCTCATTGTCTTCCTGCGATTCTGAGCTATGAAGTTCGTCCTGGTGCTCGTTGACTGGGTCTTGATCCTCTCCTTGGGGATGTAGAACTCGCCCTCTAGCAGAGACTTCATCAGGGGCTGCATCCTCGAGTTGTCGATCTCGCTTCTGCTGCGATCAGCTCTGCGCCACTGAGGAGAAGATCGGTCCCCGTAGTAGAACTTTCCTGAAGGAACATGGAAGTCAAACGGATATGCGGAGCGATGGCATGCGGAGAGTGAGGAACGAGACTGAGGTTGGGTTGGCATGACAACACACGGAGAAGGATGCCAACATAAGCAACCGAGAAGAATCCAAGGAAGGAGTAACAACAGTCCACACAGAGGCTTCGACGCAAGGGACCAGTGTGGAGTATGGGCTACCTTGCATGATGCTAGTTAGCAAGGGTTTTGTTTCCTGGGAGACGTCATCCAGCATCTGACAATAGTTGTTGTTCCAGGCCGTGGTCAGCCCACTCCTGGAGATCGGCCTCCTTCCCTGCGGACGCTGAGGCCTGTGGTCTAACTGAAAGCTCAGACTCATCCCGTCGGTGGAGGGCGGGAGAAGGTAGCTGCCGACTATGTCCTGGAACTCCTTGAAGTCGATCTTACCATCTCCGTCCCTGTCAAACACAGCAAGGATTGCGTCCATCTCGGACTGATTCATCGAGATTGAAAATTTGTCGCAGAGGAGGTAAAACTCTTCTCTATCGATCACGCCATTCCTGTCCCTGTCGATGGCCCTGAACGCTGACTGAACTCTGTTCCAATGCTGGTGAGGAAACAAAGACAGAAGTTAGCCATCATGATAGGTCGATGGTGATATCGCAGCGATCACTTGCCTGCTGCATCTTGAATAGGAAGTAGGGAGGAAGAGTTGCTTTCTTGTTGTTGACCGAGGATAAATCAATGCTCATCTCTGATCCAGCTTGTTTGCGAAATTCGTAGAGACTCTTGGTCTGAACATAAAGGTAAGCTCAAGAGTCTCACAACCAGTTTCCTCACCGCCGAAGAATTTGTTGTGCTAGATGAAGGAACAGACGATAACCCATCATGGTCATGAAAGTAAATTTTATGTGGCATCATGGCAGATCGCGGTCGTTCAGCTGACACAAATTGAGTCATTTTCGAGGAATCGAGCTTGCGTTCTTACCAAGTCGAGTCATTCCCTTCCCTTGCGTTGTTACCATGGGATAAAAGAAAACAATATGAAGAAGTCAAGGACAACTGACGACAGAACTGTTGTATGCTAGAGTGCAAATCAGTGCAAATCAGTGCAAATCAGTGCAAATCAGTGCATCTGCGTTGGTCAACTCCTCCATTCATTTCATGTCCTTGTACGACCATGTCTCTATGGCTCCCAATCTAATTGTTACCCTATTTTCTCGTGAAATCCTGCTCCTGCTCCTGCTCCTGCTCCTGCTCCTGCTCCTGCTCCTGCTCCTGCTCCTGCTCCTGCTCCTGCTCCTGCTCCCGCACCTTCTCCTGCTGCTGCTGCTGCTGCAGCAGCAGCTGCTGCAGCAGCTGCTGCAGCACCTCCTCCTCCTCCTCCTCCTCCTCTCCCCTCTTGAACCTCCAGGCATGGTGCATGAAGCTTCTTGCCATAGCATGGCACCACCCACTCTCGCAAAGTCGCAAAACGGTCAAAACTATTATCCCTTGCGCACAAGTTGGACCGGACATCCTCCCACCCCCCTGAAGAGCACTTCTTACCCACCCCCTTCGCCTGATTGGAATACCCTTTCTCCCCTGTACCCCTGTTTTGGCTGTCATGAAAGGGATACCAGGACCCCCACCCACCCTGGTGTCACTAAAACTTCGGCAACTGCCCGACTCTCACTGCCGCATTCCTGCCGTAACCACCCCTACCCGTAACCTCCGAATCATGGGAAAACTACCGGTACGAGACCCTGATGATTTCTGGGACCCAAAACTTGCACGTCCGCCTCAGTAACGGCGAAGCCATACTGAATTTTAACTTAACTTTCAGTGAGGACTCTCGGCTCGGCGGGTTCTCACAAACCTGTCGGCCCGCCCGGCCCGGGCCCGGCACGAGTGGCACACCGTGACCCGGACATCAGCAAGCACTGAAGGGCGCACAGCGGCAGACACACGGACTCCGGGACTCGAGGCCAACGGCTGGTTGGGTGACTCGACCATATCATAGCACGGTACAAGAGTTCGGACACCCCGTGTCGGACCCGGCATCTCAAACTCAGTAAGGAGGGACAAATCAGAGTCTCAAATCGAATGATCGCTGTAGATTTCAAACCAACAACAGAGCATGGCATTTGAAAAAACACAACATTGAAGCCAAACGTACACCTTACTGACATAGCACGTTGCGGAAGTTCACGTACTCCTTGTGCACATGCTGCTTCACGGTGTACATCTCCTCTAGCAGCACCTGCCACCCCTTGTCACCCCCTCTCCTCCTCTCACCCCCTCCCGCCATCGACCTGGACCTCGCAGATGTGTCGTCGCAGGTTGAGTGTCTCGTCCCATTGCTTAAGCGGGATGAAAGTGCATGAGCCGTTCTTAGCGTTGACCGTCCATCCTACCTGCCCTCCTCCAGTCACTCCCTCTCCCCTCCTCCTCCGGTTCCCTCTTCTCTCCCCTCCTCTTCCGCTTCCCGCCAAGTCCCTCCTTTCCTTTCTCCTCTCGTCTCCTCCCTTCCCGCCCCCCCGTTTCTCCTCTCTCTCCCTCTTGCTTGTCGCACCTCAACACATATGCACAGGTCCCGATACCCTCCGCAAGCTCGAAGATCGTACCTCCTGTCATACCTGCCCTTCAAAGTCATCTCTTCCTTCTCCTCCTCTCTCTCCCCTCCCCTCCCTTTCCCCTTCCTCTGACCTGTTCTTGATGCTCGTGATGTTCAAGTACACCCCGTCACCGCGTCCCCCTTTTCCTGACTGTACCACACATCCATCACACCCCGCGCAAGCCCCCCCTCTCCTCTATCACCTCCACGCCCTGCCGCCTCATCCTTCTCCTCGCTCATCGGCCCGCTTAGCCCTGCCGCCACCGCCGACATCGACCGCACCTTACTCACCCACTCCAGCACCTCCTCCACCGACTTCACCACCACTGTACACCGCACCAGGTCCGTCAAGCACGACGGGTCCCGGTGGTACGACCTCACGGTCTTCTGGATGGCTCGCTCGCAGGACTTCACCTTCCCGTGCTCCGTCCTACCCACGGGGTTCCACCCGCTTACCCAAAGCTGGAACGCCGCGCTCACCTCGTGTGCTTCCTCGAACAGCTTCTCCAGGCTCTTGCTCTCCTGCCGGATCTTCTTGCTCCTCACCGAGTACCGCGACGCCCGCTTGCCCATCGCCCTTGACCGCACCCTCTCCCACAAGCCCCCCTCCCGTCTACTCCATGCCCCGAGCTTCTGCGAGATCTCCAGCACTTCCCTGCTGATCTCCTCCAGCTTGTCCGTTGACGAGGACACGACCTTGCTCCAGGTCTTCTCGAAGCCTTCCATCGCCGCACTGAGATCCTTATACGTCTGCCGGTACGACAGCGAGTACTTCACGACGATGACGATGACGATGATCCAGCAGATGATTCCCACCACCAAGAATATCGGCCTGATGTTCTCCCGTATCGTGAGGCCGTCTCTGATGCAGTAAGCTCCTTGCAGCACAAACACTACGATCCAGGCATAATGCTGCATGAAGTGCACAAAGTACAGCACGATCGAGACGCATGCTATCAGTATGAACGACGACAGCCCGATACCAGTCGGCCATGAAACAGCATGCTTTGCATCGAACTGGATGAAGTCCGAAGTCAACGAGATGATCTTCAGCCATACAATCAGATGTCCGGATCCTACCAAGACACGCTTGGCGTTCAAGGGCGTGCTATACCTACACGTCACGATCGCAGACAGATACAGCGTACCCCATAGGAAGGCAAGGAAGGAGTCGATCACTTTCGACACTTGCACCGTCCTCGGTGTGAGGGACTCGTTTGTTGCAGGATCTGTGATCCAGATAGAGGTCCCTTCTAACATCCGCTGTACCATCACTGCCCCGAACAAGAGCTGGATCACTCCTTCAAACGCGATGCAGCACTGCGCGGGCGTCTTCAGCAGCGCTGTCTCCAGCGCGTTGCTCGACCTCAGCGCTAGTATCCCGTCCACGTCGTCGTCCCGGTACACTCGCAGCCTCGTGTTCAACGGCAGGAAACGCTCGTCCTCCGCACAGCCCCTCACCATCTCCCCTATCGCCTTCACCGCCTCGTCGTAGAAAGCCTCCTTCGCTCTGTTGATCCCCTCGCACGTCCCCTCGCAGTCCTCGCACGCCCTCGCCCTGCTCGTCGACGTCATCGTGCTCACAGCTGACAGCCGGTCAAGCGAGTCGATACTCCGCAGCGCAAAGAACTCGTGCAGCAGCTCGTACGTCTTCGTCTCTCGCAGCACCTGCAGCATCTCTATCCCCCGTGGGTTGTGCTTCTCGAAGTGCCATACCTGCCCTGCTATCTGGGCCCTCAGCTCCTTCACAAGATGCTCCTTCAGCATCCCCCCCGCTTCCTCCGCGCTCCTCCTCACGTCCTGCTCCTTGCCCACCAGGTACACCCCGCATGCTCCGCTCACTGCCTCCGGACAAGCCTCAAGCCCTAGGCTCCCCCGGCTCGTGCATGACAGCAGCCTCACCACCGCGTCTCGCACAGACACGCTCCTCAGATACCCCAGCAGCTTCTCCCGCTCCTCCTTCACTCCCGCCCCCTGCAGAAGTCCGCACGCCCTCTCGCTGTTCACCCCCGACCCCCTCCCGCTCAGCCTCTCCACTGCCTCCCTCAGCGACACGTGCCCTCCTCCCTCGTCTCGCAGGATCGGTAGCACAAGCCTCGCCCTCCCGGCCTTCTTCTCCAGCAGGTAGATCATCGCCAGCGCAAGCTGCAAGAAGTCGTCCTCCCTGTCCGCCTCCTCCCGGATCCCTTCCAGCAGCCCCAGCACGCTCGTCACTCTCCCCCACGTGATCACCGGCACGAACATGGTGCAGTTGCACACGAACCTCTCCTTGCTGAAAGCCTGCCGGTTCACAGACAGGTACGAGATGCAGTCCACGTCCAGGTATGTCTTCTGAGCGTAGATCTTGAAGAGCCACGCCTCCTCCTCCTCCAGCTCCTCGTGCACCACCCGATGCAGCTCGTCCCGCGAACGCCTGCTCGTCGAAGCCCCCCCGCTCGCCCCCGGGCCCTCCCGGCAGGGGTCGGAGGCGATCGGCTTTCTTGGTGGGGTGCCAGCGGAGGATGAAGAAGTGCACGTTATCGTCGTGGGTCTGGAGGGAGTGCTGGGATCTGCGCTGGAGGACGGTGAGGCGGGAGGGCTGCTTGAACCGAGCGAGAAGCTTGGAGCTCATTGCGGCTCAGAGATTATAAGGTTAGTTGCGTTGTTTGAAGACAGATATTTTCTGTCACTCGCGCCCAATCGGGATCATCTTTGGGTTAAACACCGAGCCTCAAGGTCTTCGGGTATGTGTAAAGAGCCGAAGGTCATTGCGAGGAGCTGAAGCGAAGGGAGATCCTTATCAGTATAAGAGGAGCAGGGTAGGAGAGCATGCGAAGGGGAGAAGGCAAGGAAGATGCGGAAGATGGGAGGGGACGAAGACAAGGGGATGTTGGAGGAAGCCGAGGCGGACAAGGAAGGGTAGAGGAGAGCAG